CCCCGTGCCCTCCTTCGTAGTCCAATCCCGTTGTAGGGTGACTCTCCGCAGTTTTAGCCCTGTGCTGGTTAGAAAGGCGTGGGTGGCGCTGGTTCGACAGCAGGGCGGTCAAGAAAAAAATAATCAAGGATGCGGCACTGTTTCGACCCCGACAAAACAGGTCCATCGACAACATTACCCGCCGAAAAGATCGGGGTTGAAGAAGTTGTGGCAGCTGGCGGGGTTTTTCCTGATTCAACAGGTTTACCCGACGAAGGTGTAGCGGCGAAGACGGAGTTTCCGAAAGCTGTGAAAATTTAAGCGCGATGGACACGGTGGGCAGCGAAGCGGCCGGGCGGGCGTTTGATACGATAAACTCACCACTGCTACGATAGTGTTCACGCCTTCATCGAACGCCAGAAAAATCGCGAGCAACACGGAGTTATGCCTCATCTGACAAACGCGGCTGCTGGGTGAACGGTGGCTCGCCGATATTGTCGGGGGGTGAAACGAATAAATCGACGGTGGGAGACGGGTGAACGTCTGCTCGCCAAACGACTTCGCGGTGTACTTCGAAGCGATCTGGGGAAGTCCTACTGCGAGATCTGCGGCGTTGATGCGCGCTAGGGTCCGTGAAAATCGGTCCCGGAAGACCCATAAGTACTGGGTTCCATGCCAAAAAAAACACCTCCTGTTGGTGGGTAGCTTGGGTGGTTAACCGCACGAAAAAAAATGGTGACCGGGTGGGCGTGCTAGAAACACCGGTTCTTTCGGGGAACAACCTGCAGGCGACCAAGATTTTACGTGGTGTATTGATTTCCGACATTTACGGGTGCAGCGAGCAGTTCCGAGAAGAGTCTTAACGGAGTCAGCGGGGTCGCTGACAGTATCCGTGCTGACGGCCGACTGCAGCGTTGCTTGATTTAAAACCCGTGGGTCAAGAAGGCCAAATTTGGTTCATACTTCCTAAGGTTGGTTGGTGTTACCAGGTTTCCAACTGAGCCTTGTTTGACTGCACACAAACCTTGTCGCCTGCACACACCAGACGAAAACACTGTAGCAACGACACCCGCTGGTTGGGTTCATCGCACAAATTGATCGCCCAACTCCAACCTGAGGACACATGTGAACCCAGGGGAGAAAAACCTGTCCCAAAAATGCCTGTGATTATTCCCGAGTTCTTAGAACCACTGCTAGACACCCTTAGCCTGCCTACTAGCCGACATACCGCGTCGCACGCATGCGAAAATCGCGAAATACAAACGGTACTTGTAGCTAAACGTCGGGGAAAGCGACATTGTCGGATAATATGGTGTATGAACGTTAGCAGATTGCGGGAGGCACGTGGAGGGAAGGTAAACAAGATTCGGCGTTAACGTCGTAAGGGTTGCGTAGATGTTACATTCCTTATTGACAAGAAAAAGAGGAAATGCAGTTTCTATTTCTTATTTAGCGCCAAATTTTGGTCTACCGTATTAAAGAATACGGCAAGCGCTTCTTGATGGTGCAATGTATTCTTTTCAGCGTGATCTCATTGATTGTTAAACATTGATGTTTCTATTACGTTAAGGTCTCATTGATGTTTCTATTATGTTTCCTCCCACCCACCCACCTCGTCATAGCTCTACCTCCACCCCACCATCTTTTCTTTCCCACCACGCCGTCCTCTCTCCCTCCCACCCGCCGTCACCTCCCACCTGCCGTCGCCTCTCGTTCTCACCCGCCGTCGCCGCTCCCTCCTCCCGCCGCCGCCGCTCCCTCCTCCCGCCGTCGCCGCTGACTCCTCCCGCCGTCGCCGCTCCCTCCTCCCGCCCGTCGCCGCTCCCTCCTCCCGCTGTCGCCGCTGTCGAGAAGCCTAGCTAGAACTTAGTAGCCATGGCTAGGGTTTAGGGTGCTTGCAAGAGTGTCGAGAAGTTTGAGCAAGAAGGAAGTGTTTCACTAATGAGCAAACATACAAGATATAGTTCTAGGGACAAGGAAATGTGGTGCACCACCAATATAACACTACACTAACTACTGCTACAAGCAGTTTATATAAGAAATGTATTTCAACACACCCCCTAAACTGCTTGCAGCAGGAAGCGAATGCAGAGACACCCTTGCAGGGGCACACCAAGCGCAGCAGGAGAGGGAACGTGAGGAGGAGGAGAGACTGTGAGAGGAGAAAGGATGGGAGGAGACGGCTGAAGCTGCAGACACACGGGCAACAGGAGCGGCGCGCACAGTGGCTACCGGTGGCAAGGGCCCCGGACTACAGGAGTAACAGGTTCCGCGGCTAAGACGAGCGGCAGGAGCAACGGACCCACGGGCGACAGGCGCAGCAGGCTCTCTGGGCTACCAGTGGCAAGGGCCCCGGAGTACAGGCGCTGCAGACGACAAAACTGCTGCCCCCACTCAACCTCCCCCAACTGTCCCACTCCCTTTCACACACCCCTTGCTGCACCCCTAGCTCCATGCCCACGTCACCCCCCTAGCACCACTACTTCGTTCGGCTCCCACACACCCACCCCCCTCAGTGACAGCTGCAGCAGTGGGAGACGGAGGAGAAGGAGGAGTAGGGGACGGCGCACACACCCTGCACCCCCATAACCGCCACCCCCACACTCGCCACCCCCAAACCCTAAAACGGGTGGCACGGGGCAGGAGCGCGGGGGACGGCGCGCGGCCCCCAGGGCGCCACGACGGGGCAGCCGGGAGGAGGGGGGGGGGGGGGGGGGGGGCTGTCAGAATATTATGCTCTAGCCTGTAGTGGGGTGCTCTGTAGCGAGTACAACCCTTCTAGGGTTTGCTATTTGTATCCCCATTCTTGCTAGTGCAACTCTCCTCTTTCGCCTAAACTCTCTTGCCTAGCTAGGACTCTCCTAGCTATGGCTCCTAAGACTACCACTTATCTTGACATGGTATCAGAGCAGGTCGACCCCCTTGGGTCGATCCTGTGGGTGGGCCCACCACCAAATCCTTCCGCTGCTGTTCTACTGGTCGCGCGACGCCTCCTTCCTGCCGTACGCTCGGGGCTGTGGCGGTTTTCTGCCTACCGTGCGCCCCGAGGCGCGCGGCGGTTTCCCACCGTCGAAGTGCCCCCCGTCGCCCGTCGAAGCGCCCCTCCCCCGTCGCCCGTCGAAGCGCCCCCGTCGCCCGTCGGAACGCCCCCCGTCGCCCGTCGAAACGCCCCCGTCGCCCGTCGAAGCGCCCCTGGGACCCGCGCGCGGCCCGTACGGGCTGCGCCCCAGGCCCGCGCGCGGCCCGTACGGGCTGCGCCAGGCCCGCGCGCGGCCCGGGCAGCCCGCGCGCGCCTCGTCCGGCCTGCGGCAGGCCCGTGCGCGCGCCTCGTCCGTCCCCCGAGCTTCTGCCGGCGCCCCACCCCCGCTACTGCCCGCGTTCCTGTGTTAGGGTTTGGGGGTGGAGGGTATGGGGGTGCCGTGAGTGTGAGCCGTCCCCTGCTCCTCCTCCTCCTCCGACTCCCACTGCTGCAGCTGCTGCTCAGGGGGGTGGGTGTGTGGGAGCCGAGGGTTTAGGGTTTAAGGGGGGTGCCATGGGAGTGGAGCTAGGGTTTCAGCAGGGGGTGTGTGTCGAGGGGTGTGGGACTGTTGGGGGAGGTTGAGGGGAGGTTGCCGTCGTGTCGTACGCAGCGCCTGTACTCCGGGGCACTCACTCCCGGTAGCCACTGTGTCGCACCAGAGCCGTCTGTTGCCCGTGTGCCTGCAGCTTCAGTCGTCGCCTCCCATCTACTCTCCTCTCGCCAGCCCTCCTCCTCCTCACTTGCCCGTTGTGACTACCACTAGCTTTGCTCATAATTGTGAACTTTAAACTATTGCTTCTTAAACTTGTGCTCAGAATGTGTGGTGACATTGTGATCCACCCTGAGCTTGTACTGCTTTGCTTGCTCTGCTGATTACACCCCACTTTGGCTATGGGGGTGTGTCAGAATATTATGCTCTAGCCTGTAGTGGGGTGCTCTGTAGCGAGTACAACCCTTCTAGGGTTTGCTATTTGTATCCCCATTCTTGCTAGTGCAACTCTCCTCTTTCGCCTAAACTCTCTTGCCTAGCTAGGACTCTCCTAGCTATGGCTCCTAAGACTACCGCTTATCTTGACAGGGGCGGCTCCCCAGGGCGCCGCGACGAGGCAGCGGGGGTCGCGCGCGGCACCCCAGGGCGACGCAACGAGGCAGCGGGGGCCGCGCACGGCTTCCCAGAGCGCCTCCACGGGGCAGCGGGGGGCCGCAAGCAGCTCCCCAGGGCGTCGCGACGAGGCTGCGGGGGCCGCGCGCGGCTCCCCAGGGCGCCATGACGGAGCAGCGGGGGCGACGTGACGGGCTCCCGGGGGGCGACGCGACCGTCGACGGGGTAGGAACCCGCCGCGCGCCTCGGGGCGGGCAGAAAACGGCCACACGCCCCGAGCGCGTGGCGGGAAGAAAGATATCGCGCGCCACGGGGCGCGCGACAGACAGGACAGCAGCAGCGGAAGCATAGGGGCCCACAGGCCAAGGTAGAACGAGCTCTGATAACATGTCGAGAAGCCTAGCTAGAACTTAGTAGCCATGGCTAGGGTTTAGGGTGCTTGCAAGAGTGTCGAGAAGTTTGAGCAAGAAGGAAGTGTTTCACTAATGAGCAAACATACAAGATATAGTTCAAGGGACAAGGAAATGTGGTGCACCACCAATGTAACACTACACTAACCACTGCTACAAGCAGTTTATATAAGAAATGTATTTCAACAGCCGCTCCGTCCTCCCGCCGTCGCCGCTCCCTCCCACCCCGCCGCCGTCGTCGCCTCCCCCGCTCATCCTGCCGTCGCCGCTGACAGCAGCTGCACGAGCGCGAGCTGGAGGGCGAGAGCGGATCGACCCCTGAGGCACCGTAGTTTTCAGGTGCGTTGACCTTTCCCGATCCATTTCTCCTCCTCCTCTCGAAGAAATTCATGTACTTTCGTATGTTTTTCGTAAGTTCTTTGTGTGTCGATTGATCTCCTTTTGCATTGCAATACCAATTGAAGAGAGGAGAGCGAGTGAGAGAGTTCGCATGCGAACGAGCACGCTGGCGCCTAGTGCGCTGGTGCCTAAAGCCTTGGCGCCGTGCGCGCTGGCGCCTAACGCGCTGGCGCCTTGCGCGCTGGCGTCTTGCGCGCTGGCGCCTTACACGCTGGCGCTTAACGCGCTGGCGCCGTGCGCGCTGGCGCCGTGCGCGCTGGCGCCGTGCGCGCTGGCGCCTTGCGCGCTGGCGCCGTGCGCGCTGGCGCCTTGCGCGCTGGCGCCGTGCGCGCTGGCGCCATGCGGGCTGGCGCCTTGCGCGCTGGCGCCGTGCGCGCTGGCGCCGTGCGGGCTGGCGCCTTGCGCGCTGGCGCCTAACGCTTTGGCGCCTAACGCGCTGGCGCCTTGCGCGCTGACGCCTAGTGCGTTGGTGCCTTGCGCCTTGGCGCCTAACGCGCTGGCGATTAGCGCTCTGGCGCCAGGGGGCCGCGTGAGAGGCCATGTGAGAAAGTGCGTGAAAGTGCGCGTGTTAGTGAGCGCGAGAGTGCGCACTTGAGAGAGCGCGTGGGGGAGAGTGTGAGAGTGCGCATGTGAGTGCGTGCGTGAGGGAGCGCGTGAGAGTGCGCGTGAGAGTGCGCGTGAGAGTGCACGTGAGAGAGCGCGTGAGAGAGCGCGTGACAGTGCGTGTGCACGTGAGAGATGAGAGGGCAGGTGAGGGAGCGCGTGAGAGGCCGCGTGAGAGGCAGGTGAGGAAGAGCGTGAGAGGCCGCGTGAGAGGCAGGTGAGGAAGCGCGTGAGAGGGCAGGTGAGGGAGCGCGTGAGAGGGCATGTAGTTTGTGTGTTCGTTTCTGAGAGAGTGTCGAAGAGTATCTGTGTGTCTGTGTGTGAGTGGGTGCAAGATTGAGTACAAGAGTGAGTGCGAGCGTGATTGTGAAGTTGAACGTGACGGTAGCTACAATGTATTGCATCATGTTGGCGTAGTACTGTGGTGCCACACCATTTTACCTCTGTGAGTTGTCAAATTTCCTGCTTGGCCTCCTCGCAGGGAAGCATTATTCGTTTTATTATTATTTTTTGTACAGTGTGTGAACATTCTTTGTTTCTGCCCTTTTTCTTGTGCAGGGCGCGTGCTTTGCATTCTCTGTTTTTGCTATGTGCAGGGCGCGTGTGCTGCATTCTTTGATTTTGTTTGGCAGAGAAGGGAGATGAGGGAGGGGGTGGGAGGGAGATGAGGGAGGGGGTGTGAGGGAGATGAGGGAGGGAGGGAGGGAGGGAGGGAGGGAGGGAGGGAGGGAGGGAGGGAGGGAGGGAGGGAGGGAGGGAGGGAGGGAAGGAGGGAGGGGGGAGGGGTGGGGGGGGGTGATGGGGGACAGGCTAGTGATACTTTATACGAGGCTGAACTTCATTCATTATTCTTGCATGCTTATTACCGTAGCTGTATGTTTTTGCGTTGTGTGTCTGTGTGTATGTGTGAGCCTGTGTGTTTGGGTGCGTACATGTGCATATGTGTTGTGTGTGTTTCAGGGTGTGGTATTAAGTGCCTCGTGAATGCAACTCGGATTGTGATCGTAGGTGGGGCAGCTTTGCTAGCCTCTTCTGTACCATATCAATCCCAGTTGCAGCATTGATGCATTTAGTATTCGCCTTGAAACATTATCTCAATCGTTGTCCGTCCTTTGTTTTTGTACCAGCTTGTATGGTATCGTCTGTGCTTGTTTTGAGGTGTGGTGCAAAGTGCCTCGTGTATGCAGTTGGGGTTGTGATCGTCGGTGGGGCAGCTTTGCTTGCCCCTTCCGTACCATATCAATCTCAGTTGCTGCATTGATGCATTTTGTATTCCCCTCAAAACATGTACGACGGTTTTTGTACACGTTCGTTTTTGTGGTAATTTGCGTATGTGTGCCTTTCAGTTCCTGTCATTTGGTGTTACCGTCAGCCCCCGGATAGAAGCGCCCCTGGGGGTATAAAAAAACACTGTTTTTTAGGGGGTGCGCTTATAATTGAGGAATTTTATAAGAGCCGGCGCTTATAAAATGGCAAAGCAAGTTTATATTTGTTTTACACCAATCTGTACACCTTGTTCTGCCAATTGTTATCGAGTCGAATATATCTGGGGTCGCGAATCTGATTCTCGCGCAACTTACGGTAGCAGGGATGTATTCCCTGCCAACACATGCTGACTAAGCGACAGCAAGTGCTGACTAGACGCGCAGCAAGTGTGATGTGAGTGGGAAAGTGGACCTGTACTTCGATTCCCTGGTAAAGAGAAATTCGTTTCTGCGTTTCGACTGATTTTCAGATTAAAAAATAGACATGCGCTTATAATAAATCAGAATTTTTTAAGGGGTGCGCTTATAAGCGAGGACCGGATATAAGCGCCCTCATCCTTTTATAAGCGCCGGCGCTTATCCGAGGCCTGCGCTTCTATCCGGGGGCTTACGGTACCATTAGTGCTAGAACAATTGTCCAATTATTCCATTAGCCGTACTTATCGACGATTTTGGATGATTGGACACATTTGGTTTCACATAGGGTAATTTGCGTGAACAGTATTCACTTCCAGAATTTTGGAGGGAAAAAACATTGTTTACGTCAGTTCGCCGAAAAGTGAAACCAAATGTATAAGGTTGCTACGCAACCCAAAAAACGGATCGTCAAACGGATTGCGCGCGAAGGCACTCGTCGTCAAATGTGTAGCCGTACAAATCGGAAGCTGCTCGGGGGTACCAGCCTGTCAAATGTTGTAGCCTATAGTGAGGTTTGTCTTAGGGGGTACAAAACTTAGGGTTAGCTATATGTACCCCAACCAACATCAATGCATCATTCATTCCTCATTTTGTCATGGTATCAGTTAGGTTAGGATCCTGTGGGATCCCGTTTCTCCGTTCTCCGATCGTACCACCCGAGCCTGATCCTAGCTCTCGTTTCGCCCGTCTTGCCCGAGCCTAGTGCCGGCCCGATCTAGTCCCGTTCGTTCGTTACCGCTCGTTCTTCCTCCCGATCTAGCGTAGCCCGATCTAGCGTACCGCTGCCGTCGAACCGCGCTTCCCCCCCCCCCCCCCCCCCCCCCCCGCTGCCCGTCGAACCGCGCTTCCCCCCGCTGTCCGTCGACCCGCGCTTCCCCCTACTGCCCGTCGACCCGCGCTTCCCCCCGCTGTCCGTCGACCCGCGCTTCCCCCCGCTGCCCGTCGACCCGCGCTTCCCCCCGCTGCCCGTCGACCCGCGCTTCCCCCCGCTGCCCGTCGACCCGCGCTTCCCCCCCGCTGCCCGTCGACCCGCGCTTCCCCCCGTTGCCCGTCGACCCGCGCTTCCCCCGCCGCCCGTCGACCCGCGCTTCCCCCCGCTGCCCGTCGACCCGCGCTTCCCCCCGCTGCCTGTCGACCCGCGTTTCCACCTGCTGCCCCTCGATCCGTCGCCCTGGCCCGCGCCCCAGCCCATCTCCCCAGCTCGCGCCCTAGCCCGTCGCCCAGGCCCGGCGCCTTTGCCCTACCCGCGCGCCCGCCACACCTGACCTACCCGCCCGCTCTTGCCCGCTCTTCCTGCCCGTTCTCCCTTGCCGCTGCGCCCTGCTTTCCCTGCCAATTCCGTTTGCACACTATGGCGACCCCTCGCGTCCTTCGTTTCGATGCTGACGGTCGCCCGCTCGATTTCCCAGTCTGGCTTCTTCGCGCTCGCCGCCTGTTAGAGAGTCAGGTCCAGGCAGGCGAGACCCTCTGGGCGCACGCTACTGGTGCCCTACCTGCGCCCCCCGACCCTACGCCTTTAGGACCTGCCCCTGACGACGCCGCTAGAGCCCGCTTTGCCACTCAGCGAGCTGACCAGACGGCTTGGACGTCACGTGACGCTGCGGCCTGCATCGCGCTCAGCAGCCTCCTCCCTGAGTCTGAGGAGGTTCACTTCACTCAGGTTCGCACCGCTGCTGCGTACCTCACTGCGATTAAGGCCCGCTACTCTACTCCCGCTGCTGTCTCTCTTGGCCGCCTGTTCCTCCCGTTCCTGTTTCCTGACCTAGCGTCTTTTGAGCGCTCTGCTGACTTGATCGCTCACCTCCGCTCGCTCGACGCTAGTTACCGCGCTGCTTGCACTGAGGCACAGCTTGCACTGCTTCCTCCCCCTATGGCGATTACTATCTATTTCATCGCCACTAGCCTCCCTGACCGCCTTGCCTCCGTTCGCGACGCGCTTCTGCTGAAGCACCCTAGTGAGCTCACCGTCGAGGTCCTTGAGTCTGCACTCAAGGACGTCGAGAGAACCTTCGCTCGGTAGCCGCTGCCTCTGGTGCTGTGCCCCCCCCACTCTTCCATGGGTGCACAGTCCCGCAGTTACCCACCTTTACTGCCTCACTTGCCACTGCCGCTACTGACGCGACTGCAGCTGCTGTTACGACTGCGTCGCGGTCCCGCGGTAGGAGTGGCAAGAAAGGCGGTTCTGGTGGTGGTAGTGGAGGTGGAGGCGGAGGTAGTGGAGGTGGCGTTGCGCCTGGCGGCGGTGGAGGTTCAGGGCCTGGAGAGGCGCCTCGTGCAGTGACTGGTGACTCCACTGCGCCTGCTGGTGGTGGCGACGCCCGAGTTCGTCAGTCGCCTCCTGTACTTCCTGCCCCGGTTGGTGGAGCAGCAGCGTGGTACCAGGCTCAGCGTCAGCAGCAGCTTCTGCAGCACCAGCAGCCCCTCTCCTCCCAGCAGCCTCAGCAGCAGCAGCGGCAGCAGCTGGCTCCAGGGTCGGGGCTGCGTCAGACCCAGCGCGGTGCTACTTACACTCCCTGCACCTACCAGGTTCTGACAGGCCCTCGTCGTGGCCACCCTTGTGGCCGGTTTCACCCCCCTGGTTAGTGCTTTGCTCAGCTCACTGACATGGTTCGTTTGGTCTACGGGGTTGGTGCTCCTGCCCCTGATTGGCTGCCTCTTGTTCAGCGCTACGGCTCCGCTCTGTGGGGCATGTCTGCTGAGCAGTTAGTTGATCTCATTGGTACCCCCCATGCTATGTATGCTGTTGTTGACTCTAGTGTTTCTGACTCTGCTTACTCTGGTGTTGTTAGCTTAGGTGCTAGCCTTGCTCAGTTGCCTGTTGCTAGTGTAGGTTCTTGTGTAGACTCTAGTCCAGCGGCTACCTCAGAGGACGGTTCGCTGTCGTTCACTCTGGACTCTGGAGCTTCTCACTGCTTCTTTCGTAACAGCACGACACTCACGCCTCTTCCTGCGCCTGTTTCTGTGGCGCTGGCTGATCCCACTTCGGGACCAGTCACCGCGCGTCACACTACCACCTTGCCGTGTCCGGCTGCTCCTTCTGGGTCTCTCACTGGGTTTCACGTCCCCTCGTTCTCCCGGAACTTGGTGGGCGTGCGACCCCTCGTGAGTCAGCACGTGGGTGTGTGGTTTGAGCCTTCTGGAGAGACTGCGGTGTGTGTTGACGGGGACTCTTACCAGCCCCTCGCCACTTTTGCTGCTGAGCCGGGCTCCGGTCTCTACACTCTTCACACTCGCCCGCGCGCTCAGCAGCGACTGCAGCAGCAGCAGCAGCCGCAGCAGCAGCAGCAGCAGCAGCCGCAGCAGCAGCAGC